GCCTTTGAGGACTGACATCGCAGTGTGGCCTATAAATAGCTCGGCTCGCCGGGAAGGTAGCCGTGGCCGCCGTGGCGACGGGGCCGGCGTGGGCCTCTGGGGGTGTCTGGGGGACCCGGGGCTGCTGCCACCCTGCCTGGGCCCCACACCGGGGGTCAGGCCGGGTCATGTTAAATCCCAGGTCTAGGGAGGTGAAAGGGCCGGGCGTGCTGTGAGCTGGTGCCTGTCGACCAGACCCCGGTACCAAGAGACCCGCCTGGAGGAGACCCCCGCCTCCGCCCCCACTGCCGCGTCCCGGGGAGGCGCCCACGCCCCCGTCTGGGCCGTGGGGGGCTGTGGGCCAGGGCGCGGGCAGGCCACGAGCCCCACGTGGCACGTGATGACCAGGCTGGGGTCCACGCATCTTAAATCAGTTCATTCTCCTGTGTCCTGAGCGTGTGCTCCTGATATTAAATCAGGAAATCGAGCAGATGGATCAGATTTCTCAGTAGTTTTCGAAGCCACCGGTGTCCCGTCGCGAATTGGGTGTGTCCCCAAGTTCCGGCCGAGAGCTCGGCAGGCCCAGGCCACACGTTCTGGAGGGTCTCCCGTGGGCTGTTCACACACGTCACTTTCTGCGGCCGCGATCACGGCCTGACTGCGTCACCGCTGCCTGAGGGCAGCGTCCCTCCCACCCCGCCCGGGAGTCCCCGCCCACCTCAGTGCTCCTTCCCACCCTCCGTGCCTCCATCTCCCCGTTTGGTTCTCAGAGCGAGACTCACCTTCCTCCCCTCCTCCTCCCTCCTTCCTGCCCTGCTCCTGTTCACTCCGGTGGAGGAAGGAAGGTTCCAGTGCCTGGAAGGGACAGAGGCTGAGCCAGGCGGGAGGGACGTCGAGGGAGGGAGGGGTGCGCCCTACCTGCGCCCTCCTGTCACCGGTGCTGGGGCCCGGGGTGCAGAGCAGCGACTTTTAACACTGCTCCCCGTAACCCTCTGGCAGGCCCTGAAATCAGCTAGTCACCGGGTTTGGTGGCTGAGGCCGGCGCTGGCTACAGGGCTTGGGCAGGACTCGGTGGCAGAGCCTGCCCTCCCTGGGGCCTAGAAGCTGCCCTGCTCTCCAGGGACTCTCCCTCCTCTCCTGATCCTCCCTGAGGCTCCTTCTCAGAGCACCTGCGGCCAGGCCCTCTGTCTAATGGCCCGGGCTCCCTGGCAGTCTCACAGGGGTCCAGGGTCCCTTGGCCAGGCTGCGGCCACAGCCCCTTCCCTGCGGGACAGCAGAGCCTCCTCTCGGGCTCCGAGGAGTCCTCCCTCTCCGGGAGGGTCCTCCCTCCACCATGGCGCCTGGGGGGAGTTGGGGCTCACGGCAGGCGCCACCCTGCCCAGCACCCCACCTTCAGGGGAGAGTGGGCCTGTGGGGAGAGGGGAGGACCCAGAGGTGCCTGGCACCCGCCCCTGCGCCAGCCCCACCCCACCGCCCCTCTGCATAGCAGACCAGCTGGCCCGGCATCTCGGGAGGACCGACTGCCAGAGTCCCGGAGAGACCGGCCCGCAGCCCAGGGGAGCTGCCCTGGGCCTGCAGACGCAGCCTCCTGCCCCCGTAGAGCCCTGGGGACCCACGCACAGCGCCCCAAGGCAGAGACGAGCCTGGAGCCCACCTTGCCCCGGGTGCAGGCGCCGAGGTGGGATGGGCTCAGATGCACACTCTGGGGTTGGGGGGTGAGGGGGCAGCCATTGCCCTGGCTGCACGGACCGGGGGCTCTGCAGCTCAGCCCCGGGGGAGCCAGCCTGAGGATGCCCGCGTGGGAACCTTTGGGACGGGCCCGGGCGACGGCCCAGGCTCACTCCATCCACCCTCAGAGGCCCCAGGCCCCAGAGAGCACAAACAGCAGGAAGAACAAATGTACTCCATGGAGTGGACACAGCAGGTGCAACAGCACCTTGGTCCCTGTTCTGAGTGACTGCTAGGATGTTCTTTCTGAAATGGCAATCATCAAATGTCCACAGTCCCCACCCTCACCCCCTGCCAGCGGAGGTTCCGGCTCTATTGGGTTCTGCCTGCCGGGCGGGCCGGCGCCAAGCTGGGGAGACGGGCAGAGTTGTGGCTGGGGGCTGCGGCCGGGACTGGGATGGCCTGGGCCGGCAGGTGGACAGGCCTGGCCTGGGCCTTGGGGCATCTGGCAGAGACAGGGTTTGTGCTGCCGCCCGTGGACTGCAGGCTCTGGGAGCGAATCCGTGGGCCGTGCCTCGGTCTGGGGGAAGGACACTTCCCAGGTGGGATGGGGCTGCTGTCCGGGGGTGGGGCTGTGGCTCCCCCAGGTAGCAAACACATAGGCCCTCACCTGGGAGGGTAGGATTCCACTGAGGAATCGAGTTCTGGTGTGGGGGGTGATTTTTTTTTCCCTTCGATTTCTGGCAAAATATGTCTTCTAATTGATCTCCAGTTTTCCGACTTCTCAACCCTCTTTTAAACCAGTTTCCCCCGTCTGGGTGCACAGCTGCCTCCTCCTGCAAACCAAGAAAGTCATTGGCACGGAACCCTCCACACCGGTCTGCAGCCTCCTTTTAACGGGAGCCAGCACCTGTCTGTACAGTACAGCGTGGATCGCTAACTCCCTTCCTTAATCGGAACACATCAAGCTCAAAGAAGAAAAGGAAGTTATCTCCAAATCCAGACTTCTTATTCTCTCCCTGTGGGCTGATTTTCACAGACCAGGGGCACAAATGCCGCGTGGCTCCGAAGCACTCGTGTGCGAGTCACCTCCCCGGAGCTTCTCAACCCCCGAGAGCAGAACGGATCGTGCGTGCGGAAGGATGGACAGACAGGCATGGACAGACAGACAGCCCCAGAGAGCCCCGAGGAAGCGCTAGCTCCTCGGACACCTGCTCGTCCCCCCGGGCAGGTGCGGCGTTGCCTTCTTGGCAAATCCTGCCTGTCTCCGGGGTTCTTGCCTGTCCACCCGTGTTTCCCACGCGGGGATGCTGACAGCACGGGGACTCAGCCCGCGGAGGCGGGCACCTATGTTGGAGCCATCAGACAGGTGAGCCCTGGGCCCAGGTGAACCCCCACCGCCCGAGTCCCGCCCACCGAGAGGTCGGAGCCTGCATCCCCACCCGGACGTTTCTTCCACGTGGCACGAGACACGCAGATGACAGTACGGGATAGGGGTTCTGGCACATAACAGACATTGCAGAAAGTCTCTGTAATTTCTTTAATGATTCAAACAATAAAGCACAAGATAACAGTTTCAAGTACATTCTGACACACGTGTTTGACAGGAGTAGTTATGCATTTAGGCATAGGGGGCGGGCAGCGACCACCACGCACACATTTTGCGCAAACTCTTGGCTCCGTCAACCCCGAGGAGGAGCAGTGGGTGCCCCACCCGGGGAGAAGGGCACCGTCTCCACGCCCTGTGTTTAGTTTCTCTACGCAGTGGCTTCCTTTCCTCGCCTGTGGCGGGGAATTCATAATAGAAAGCCGTGGAAAGATCTCGAAAAGAGGGCCCAGGAGGGCAGGGGCCGGCACCCGGGAGCCTGGGTGCTCCGTCCGGGGGAAGCCGTGCCGCAGGTGCCCTCACTCACCGCACCGCGCAGGAGGCACCCGCGGGCTCGGTTAGCGCCCGGCTCCTCTCTCTGACCACTGGGGCACTCGCCAATCCTCGGGGGGGGGGGGGGCTCGGCACAGCCCGAGGGGCTGCCGTGCCCGTTGACCAGCCTAGCACCAGACTCCCCCCAAGGCTGCAAACACCAGCCTCGAGCCTGCTAACCACCTGGAAGACCAGAGAAAAGTCTCTAACAGAGAGAAACTGAGGACTGAGCCTGGCCCCACTGCAGGACGCAGAGGCCAAGCCACCTGCCCGGAGCCACCCATCTGGGCGCACAGCCTCCTGGGAAGACCACTCACAGCCAGACCCTTAGCACAGAAGCCCCTGGGGCACCAGCGTCCCTCACCGCAGATGCCGCCGCCGGCCCGGCCTCAGGAGCCAGCACCCCAGGTAGGACTGAGGTCTGTTGCACCCTGCTCCCTAAACCTGGACCTCCTCCCGTGCAGCCTTACCGTTCTGGCAGGCCCCTCGCCCGTTCGTCTCGGCCCTTCCAAGCCCAGCCTGCTCGGACACCACGGGCCAAAGCACGAAGCATGACAGTCACCTGCAGCAAGCCAAAAAGCAGGCGTGGTCCACCGTCCAGCCCCCGATGGTGGCCGAGGACCGAGACCCTCTCGGCCAAACCTACGAGGCGGCATGAAGCTCGGAGGAGCCTTCTCCCGACTTGGCCGGCATCAGGCGCCAGCCACTGGGCCCACACTCAAGCGGGGCCTCGCCCCAAAAACCACACCGGACAGACAACTTGGACTTGGAGACACCAGCGTGGCCCAAGGACCCACCCGGGCAGCCCTGACATTCTGGCGACTGGCCCACCAGGAGCAGGCAGAGAATGCACGTTCCATGGCGGGCTTGCCGCTGGGATGCCGGGGGACCCTCACGAGAAGAGGGTGGGAGGGTCAGAGAGGGTCAACACCTGGCCCTCTCCTCTGGGAGACCCTTTCTGGAAAGGACACAACGAAAGGACCTCAGAAAGCAGCAATGACCTCCTCCCTACAGATCAGAGACAGCAAGACCAGCGACAGGCACGAGGTCCACCCAACGACCACACAGTGCGCCCTGGGGGAAGTTCCCAGGGTCTGCCCCCAGGGCCACCTCCTCTCTCCTACAACTCGGGGTTTGCCAGTGAAGGAGTGGCGCTGGGGGACACAGAACAGTCCCCACATGCCGCACCCCCAAACTTGGGGGTGCAGGAAGAACTTCACACAATAAATACTAACGGAGCTGAGGTTTCTCCAGTGATGAATAAACAAGTTGATTGTTTACCTACTTTGGTTACCTACATAAGTCAGTCTGAATTCACAGTATAAGCAACACATCTAGAACACGGGGACGCCTGGCAGCAGGAAGCGTCCCAAACAAAGAGGCCAAAAAAAAAAAAAAAAAAAAAAGAAAAGAAAAAGGGCTGCAACAGGAGTTCTTAGTTAATTATATACTAACCAGTCTGTGCGTGGCACATTTTATTTCTATAAAACTATTACAAAATATTCAAAAATACATTTTAGTAAATTTACAGCAGTTATTTCTCAATTTATTAATGCAAAAACATCCTTTGTTTTTTCTCTGTACAAACTACAGGCTCCATCCTTGTGGGCTCATTGCTATGTGCACTTTTAAAAAATATTTTCTAATAAATTCTTTGAAGTTAAAAATAACAGAGTTCTTCCAGTTTGTCAAAAAAAAAAACAAAACACAACTGTGTGTGTGTGTGCGTGCATGTGTGTGTGTGCGTGCGTGTAACAGTCTTGGCTTCCACAGTGTGGGCAAAGTGGTGATCACAAAGCAAAGATGAAACCAGGAACACGGTACGGGCGACGGCTGTTACACTGGAAACTAGTTAAATTAAAATAATATATTTTCATATTTTACACTATTTCAAAAAATGAAATGTCATTCAGTTAAGTATTGATCTCTCAAAAAATCTAATTTACAATTCTGTGTATAAAAATATAATTTGTGGACCCCCACGAAGCACGTCTGAGTTTACGCTTGCGGAAAAGCAGGAGGCTGCCAGAGAGGAATGCGCAGTCCAGGGTTTGCTTCCGGACAGGGCGAGGGACGTAGAAAAATAGACTCTGAGCAGGGTGCTTGGCCGCACAAAATAATCTTCCCCCTGTGAGTACAGTCCACGTGATAATAATAAATTATCCAAGAAACAAACTATTTAAGGCTCTTGAAGGTCCGGTTCATATTATTTAAAACATCTATTCATACCAAACAAATAAATAGCCAGGAGAGGAGAAAAAAAATAACCAAAATAAAACAATAACAAAACAAAAGTTCAAAAATATATATATATATAAACTAAACGCAACAACAAAACTTCCCAGGGTCTTTGCTTCCTTATAGTCTACTTTGGACTGTCCTACTTTATTATTATCATTAATTATTATGATGATGAAGTCTCGTTCCGTGCGCCTTCTCCACGCGTCTTTCGCCCGTGCCACGGCGGCGGCTTCCCCGGGCCCTGTCCCCGCGCCGCGCCGGCTTCAGCTGGACGCGACGGCCATGCCGAGCGGGTGCAGGGCCTCGCTGTCCAAGAGCCAAGTGCCTATTCGGTAGAGCAGCTGCGAGTACCAGTGCACGCCCGCGGCTCCCGGCGCGTCGGGCTCCCCCGGCGCGGGCGGGGACACTCGGCCGCCCCCGCCGTCGCCGTCCCCGCCGCGACCCGAGCGCGCGGGCGCCAGCGCGGCCAGGAGCGCGTGCGCCAGGCGGAAGGGCGCGAAGGCCCGGTGCGCCCAGCCGTGCTCCTCGATGACCGCGTAGCACGAGGCCAGCACCCGGTTGATGAGGATGGTGCCCTGGGCCGTGAGCGGCGCGTACGCGCCCGCGGCCTCCTCGCGCAGCGTCACGCTGTGCACGGCGGCCGGCAGCAGCCGGCGGTCCCCGTCGCGCTCGGCCACCACGTACACGCGCTGGCCCGGGCGCACGCGGCTGGCGAAGAGCGCCCGGCGCCCCAGCGCGCCCCCCGGCGGCGGCCCCGCGCCCGACGGCGCCTCGGGCTCGGCGGCGGCCGAGTCGTTGAGCGGCGCCACGAAGAGCAGGTGCGCGGCCGTGAGCAGCAGGCGCTCGCGCGGCTCGCGCGTCTCGATCACGTAGAAGACCTTCTTGGCCCGGTCGTCGCGGTCCAGGAAGGTGAGGAAGTCGCTGTAGAGCAGCCGCCCCTGGTCGTCCGCTGCCAGCACGCGGTCCCCGGGGCGCAGGTCCTTCACCAGCTTGGTGCCGCCCTGCTCCAGGTGCACCGTGGCCGAGCCGGGGAAGCAGCCGCCGGACTTGGCCGCCACCGAGTTCTCTGCGGGTGAGGAGAAGGGAGAGAAGAGGGACAGGCTGGTGAGTTCCGAGAGGGAGGCGCGTCTGGGGAGGAGGGGCGCGCGCTTGGTGTCCCGCGCGCCTAGGCCGGGTGCGAGCGGCGCAGGGGTGGGGCGGGTCCCGGCGGGTCCGCCCAGACCTCCCGCCCCCAGCCCCGCCGCCTCAGTGAGAGAGTTCCAAGGCGGGCGCATTCCTTAACGACTCTCCAAGATGGGGCGGGCGGTGGCAAAGGGTGGCTGGCGTTTCCGCGGGAGGCCGGTTCCCCTCCTTCCCTTCCGCCTTCCTCCAGCCCCATCCCCCGCTCGGCACACATCCAGCCTGTAGCGAAGCTAGAAGGGTATTTGCTCTCCACTTGGATTCCTCGGGACGCCTCCCCAGGCCGGGCCCCCGCGGGCGCCAGGGGCGCCTCCTTCCCTCCCGCCTCGGCGCGGGCGCGGCGCCTCTCCATGCGCTCCGCACCCGGCTGCGCGGCGAGCCCCGCGCCCGCCTGGACCCCGCTCGGCCAGCCCTGCTCCGGCCTTGGTGTCTTCGGCCTGGGGAGGGGCGGGGCGGGGAGTGAAAAGTGCTGTAGGAGTTGTAGCAACTGGACAAACATTCCCCAGAATGGGCCGAGGTGTGAAAATCCCAGGCTTGTGTAGATTTTCTAATTAAAATCCAATAAAGGGCCCGGCATTGTCATTGTGATTTCTGGGATAAATAGGAGGCACTCTTGGAAGGGGGGCACTTCTATTTCTCCCCTCCCCTTTCTCAGCTCTCTCTCCGGCTCGCGGGCCGCCCCCCCTATTTGCTCAGGTGCAGCCCCCGCCCCGCGTGCAACTCACACTCGGGCTCTCCAGCAGCCGGGCCTCACAGCGCTATTTGCACAGCCCGGCCTCTCTCCAAGCACTCAAGACGCGTATTTGAATTTTAAATGCCCAGGCCTGCTCGGAGCGCTGGAAGCCCGGTTCTCAAGGCCCCTTGACTACCCGCTTTCTCGAGCCCTCTGTCGCTCTCTGAGGCTCACTGTCCCAAGGACAATAATGGAAGTCGGGGCGGAGCGCGGGGAGCCGGGGAGGAGGGGCGGGAGTCTTGTCGCCTTTGCATTCCAATCTCCGGGATCAGGCTTTTTGCAAATAGAGATTGCGAGAAAGAATCTTCCTGCCGGAATTACAGAAGGTTTTTAATCTTCTCATCGGTTTCTCCGTCATGAAGTGCGGGGCTGGCCGTTGGAGGCCCTCGGCAGCCCCCCTGGAATGCGACCCGCGGCGCTGGCGAGCCCGAGTCGTCGAGTCGCACGACCCTGCTTGACACGCACCGCGCCGCGCCCCCGCCCGCGTGCGCGGAATGCTGATCAGGGGCTCGCGGCGCCGGGCTCTGTGGTCCGGGCCGATGTGGGGGGGGATTATCGCTGCTCACTTGGGGGGGACCTCCAGGGACCCCCGCTAGAGGGACCCCGCGGACAGGGTGGCTGGAGAGGGCCAGGAGCGCCCGGCGCAACCATCAGGTCCAGGAAGGGCACGCTGGGCCCAGAGGCCTCCAGCCGCCCCTACTGCCCCCCCCCCTACAGAGGGACCCCGCAGGAGGCCCCTGCCGCGGAGCCCGGGAGGGGGGGCCTCCCTCCCTCGTGCACTCCTGGGCGCAAACCTATCCCCTGCCCGAGCCCTTTGCTTTTTGTCGCTACAAGAAGCCACTATTTTCTTTACCTACAAAGTGCATCTTGACACTTTAAAAGTGTTTTCCTATTAACATATGCCATTACAATAAAATGTAGGCGACAAATAGGGAAAAACTGGAGGGGCAGGGACAGAAAGCTGGCCCTCCGAAATTCGAAATTCGCTGCGAACTGTTACGCTACACGCGTCCACACGCTGGGAGACCGGAGCTGCCCAGGCCGGGTGCCGCGTGTGCGGATAAGGCCTCCCTTCCCTGGCTGTTCCTCGCAGGCGACAGCATGTGGCGTTGCAGGCCCAGGGAAACCAGCCTCCCGCGGGCTCCGGCTGCAGACGGGAGCCGCCTGGTCTCTCCCGGCCCTGCCCGCGCGCAGGGCGTCCCAGCTGAGCTCCTGTAAGAACCGATGCTTCTGGCTTACGGCCTCCAGATGTGGGAGTGGTAACTACCGGGTCGTTACCTCCCACCAGAGCTCTCCGCAAAGGCTGAGCAAGCGAGTGAAGTTGGTTTAGAATCCACAGGCTCCCAGCCAGGAGGAGAGAGGAACGGAGCTTACTCCCTCGGGACAGACCCTCCCGCGCTTGGGGGTGGGGGGTGGGAGCCGGTTGGTTCTTAAGCCTTAAATGAGAGGAAGGATCTCGACCAGACGTGGCTAAACGCGCGGGCCTGCATTCTGTCCCTGGAAAGCACCAGCGCCCCTCCCCCACTCCTGCTGCTGCCCGCATCTCCACCACCTGCGGGGCGCGGACGGGGCACGGTGCGCGCAGAGAGCGCTCCGGCAGCCACAGCCCCATCCACCTCTGGGTTTGCGGAACCTCGCCTCTGTGGCCTCCAAGGTAGGGGCAGTTTCTGGCTGGGGGACCTCATAGGGTATGTTTTTGCAACAGAAACCGTCATCGCCCAGAACCTTCCCTCCCTCTTCCCGCATGCCCCGCCCTCTTTTTCATTTCCCTTTGGGTCAGGCTGACGCGGTCGCACAGACAGCCTTGTGGAGTGGCTGGGGGGGTGCGCGGTGGCGACGGTGGGAGCACAGGGGGACATGGAGAAGGCCTGGGTCTGAGGCCACCGTACCTGCTTTCACGGAGCAGTGGATGTGCGCTTTGGACTCGTAGTACACCCAGTCGAAGCCGGCCTCCACCGCCAGGCGGGCCAGCATGCCGTACTTGCTGCGGTCGCGGTCCGACGTGGTGATGTCCACCGCGCGGCCCTCATAGTGCAGCGACTCCTCCGAGTGGTGGCCGTCCTCGTCCCAGCCCTCGGTCACCCGCAGTTTCACTCCTGGCCACTGGTTCATCACGGAGATGGCCAAAGCGTTCAACTTGTCCTTACACCTCTGTGAAGAGAAGGGGGGCCCCAACAGGCAGACACGTTAGCACGGGCACCTGCCACCCACCCCAGCCCTCCGTCAGCCTGCCCTGCCTAGGCTCGGGCTGTGCAGAGAAGCGGGGAGAGGAGGCTCGGGAATGGGGTCTGGCCAGGGCAGGAGAGAAGGCACCGGGGTGAGTAGGAGGGCGCTGAGCTAGGGCCTTCCTCCACATCCTGAAACAGCTGCCACGCCTCCCATGGCCAGAGAAGCAAGTGCCCTTTCTCTGAAACAAGGGGACTGTGTTTTCAGACTCCAACTCCTCCAGGGACTGGGTCAGCAATGCCTGCTGCACCCCACCCCTGGGTCGCCCTCCACTCCCCGGCCCCTTCCTCACACCTGTGCCAGCCTCCACCCTTCTCCCTGCCCCAAACACCCCACAAGGAGGCCAGAGCCAGGCCCAGGGTGCAAACTTGCAGAAATAAAGGAAAACGCACTGCGCACTTCTTAAAGAATGGAAAGCCTCAAGAGTTTATCTGGGGACCTTCCCTCAACCTTGTGCCTGTTGAGGTGAGAATGAGACCCAAGGTGAGAGAGGGGGTGGGACGCTGATAGCAAGGCCCCAGGGCTGGGAGAGAGCCCCTCAGAAGGCAGGCAGGTGAGTCTGATTTTCAATCCGGCTGTGGCCAGGGCAAACATTCTTTATCTGGACGGCCACATTCTTTTTCCCCCGTGGAACTCTTTTCTGCCTGGCTTTTCTGTGGTCCGATTGTGTTTCTGTTTTCTTTAACCTGTTCCCTTCCTCCCTCTTGTCTTCTTGGCCCCAGCCTAGAATGGTGTCCGGCAGGTTTGAAGAGCAAACTTAAGAGGTGGAGGGAGGGGTGGGTGGGTGGGTGGGTGGGGAGGCGGTGGGGGAGGGGAGCCAGAGAGGCCCGGGCCTCTGAGCCCTTTGCCTGGGGAGTCTTCCTCTCCAGCGGCCCCTCTCCCCCACCCCAGCTGCCTCTGGGAGTAAAGAAACACTGAACAGGCTTGATGTGGATCTGGGTAAAGTGGGACTTGGGATTGTGGGGGTTACCCCCTAGTTCAAAGGTCACTTGCAGGTAAAGATGCAATAAAAACCAGTTGAATCCAGTGTGTGTGTTTGGGGGTTCTCACTAACCTCCTGAACGTAATTTACCCTGCTTCAGGTGGGGACACAGGTTTGCAGCTGGGGAACTGGCACAAGTGATGGCACCCGCTTGTCCCAGAGAAGCAGGCCTGGGTGGGGGCAGGGGGACAATTTCAAGTTGATTTCTAGAGAGGGCGGGGCTGGCCCCAAGCGTGCTGGGCCTGGAGCCTGGCTGTCAGGATGGAAGGCCAGCCCCTGCCTAGGCCCTGGTTTTAGTGCAGGAGGGGCCTTGGCCGAGAGGTGGAAGGGTTGGGGGCCAGAACTCTCTCAAGGACTGCTCAGCCACGCATTGCGCAACAGGAAAAGTCCTGTGTATCTGGCAGCAATAAAAGCCAGAAACATGGTTGTAGGGGTTACGCCACATACACAACACTGGGGGGGGCGGGGAGAGGGCTGGGGGCGGCCCTGGTAACAGGTCAGTGCCTGCAGGTTTCTGGGCCTGCCGGCAGTTACAAAAAGAAAAAAAGAGAACAAGTCGGAAGGACAGAGTTTGAGGTCGTCTTGAGGATTGAACGCGTTTTACATGAAAATCAATCAGTAAACCAGGGTCAGTTTAGAGCTGAGATGTGCAGCTGGGCGCGCAGGCGCACACCACCGGCACGAACACGCAACCCCCACCCCGAGCCCCCCACCCCGGCTCCCTTCTCCTGGGGGGCGCAGACGGAAGCTTTAAACAGCTGCCACGGGGCGGCCAGGCAGCTGGGGGGCGGGATGGGGAGGACCCGGGGCCCCCAGCACGCTGAGCTGCGCCACTTGGGCAGGACATGGAGGGCCCTAGGCGAGGAGGTGGCGGCGCTGGGGACAGGCGGAGGCCGAGGCTTGCCCGAGCTGGCTGCTGGCACCCCACGCCCCCCACCCCTCTCGGCCCCAGGCCCCAGGCCCGGTGCGGGCTGGGCTGGTGGCCGCAGGACGCTCCTCCGCCCCAGCTGGGCGGGACTGTCGCAGGCAAAGCCGGGAAGCCCAGGCCGGTTATTAATTCATTGGGTCGTGTGCCGCGAATCAAGCCCGGCTCTGTGCAGCCACCGTGAAGCGCAGCAGGGCCGCGGGGCAGGGCCAGGCTTTGTGCGGGGAGGCCGGGTCGCTCCCCACGCCCGAGCTCCTGCCCGCTCCCCATGGGCACGGCCATGGCCGCGCCGCCCGGAAGCGCCCAGGAGGGCCTGTCACCGCCGGCGGCGGGTGGGCGTCCCCCAGCGCGGGGCAGGGGGCGTCCCAACTTCCAGAGAGCCCCCGTCTCTGCACACTCCCGCCGCCACCCCCTACCCCGCACCACTCGGAAAACAGGCCCCTCCCCGTCCAGACAGAGAACCCTCGCCAACCCACACCTGGGCGCCGTCCCCGCGGCCTCAAAGCACGCAGGAAATCTACTCAGCGCGGCGCCTGGGGGCACCCCCACCCGCGCCCTCCCCCTCGGAGCCCCGGCCCGCGGCACCCTCGCCCGGCACCCGCGGCTGCGCGGGGAGAGCGTGTCTGCGCTTCCCTCTCCCGAGTTAATATTAACCCGGAGCTCCTGCGTTCCAGAACTGCTCTGAAAGTTCCACTGGGGACGGTCTTGCCATGGTTGAGGGACTCGGGCAGCAGTCACATTAGAGAGACACAGGGACAGGAGGGGGACGAGACAACAGGAGGGACGCACACCTGGGAGCAGAACCTGGGCGGGTATTTAGACCGAGGGCCGGCGGTGCGCAGGCTCCGGCTGAACCTCCCCGCGAGGTCTCCCGCCCCTCCCTCGCCCCTGCCTGCCCCCTCCCTTCCTCCCCGCGCCCCCCGACTCTGAGAGTCAGAGGAAGGGGAGGGAAGGGCGAGCCAGGGGTGCCTCACAGACTGAAACCGCCTCCATCACGTTTTTAGGGGGCTTTTGTGGGGTCCCTGGTATAACCCTGGCCCCAGTTCTCCCCACCCAACCCCCACGGCGCTGTGCCTCCCCCTCCCTTTGTGTTGGGAACGGGAATAGCCACTGCCCAAGGAAAAAAGTATTTGTTTTCGTTTGGTTTGTCTGAGGGAAGTTGACAGAAGGTCAGAAGTTCAAATGCTGCCAGCGCGCGCGGCGGCGAGAGTGGCGGGGCGCGGGGCCGCTGGGCCCCGGGTCCTCGGGCTGGGCGGTCCGGGTGGGGGCAGGGAGCGGCCCCGGGGCTCTGCTGGGGGCACGGAGGACTGGGGGGCGGGCGCGGCCGGGTAGGCCCACGGAGCCTACGCTGCCCCTGGGCCCGCGGCCGGCCCCTCCCGCCCCGAATCTCCCCGCCCCCGCCGCGGGGTAATTACGGCGACCGCAGCACTGGCGTGAGCTCTTTGGTGCCCGTGCCCCGGCGCGTGGGGCGGCAGGCACTGGCGGCCCGAGCCCAGCTCCGGGCGCCCTGAAACCCTAGCCACGGGGACCACGACCCTGGAGTAAGCGTGGCTAGACTGCGTCTGCTCTGCGCGAGGCTCTGCGCTCGCATCTTGGCAGCAGGGCTGTGAGGCCGGGGCCTGGCGAGGGCACGGGCCGAGGATCCCCTCTGTGGCGTCGGCCTCCGCAGCCCAGAGAGGGCCCTGACCCGCTCAGGCTCTGGGACCTCGGGTGTCCACGCCCCCGCCGCTTTCTCCCCATCGCTTCCCTCCTCCGCGGGAGCGAGGGTGGCAAGGGGCCGGGCGCCCCGGACTAGCTGGAGAGCTCCCTCTAGCCAGCTGCGCGCCGGGCTCCCCGTGGCCCGTGCAGAGTTAACTGTGGCTCGCGCTGCTCTCTGGCACAGGCGCGCGCGTCCACACTCGCGGGCCACATTTAAGGTGGTCGGGAGCTGATGAGGGAGAGCGAGGAGGAAGGACCGGCTCCGCGGTTCCCTCTCCTCTGCTTTCGGCCAGCTCGAGCTGGCTACCCTGCCTGCCCCTGTCCTTTGCTGGCTCCCTAGCGAGCCCAGGGTCCGGTTGGGTAGCCGCGGCCCGGGAGGTACCTCCTCTCTCCCTCCCATCCGCGTCCTCCCCCTGCACTAGCGCCCCACCAGCGCCGCTCTATCAGCCGCGGAGCGCACCTAGCCCTAAAGGTAGGACTTGAATATTTTAATAGGGCAATAAAAAGGATGTTGACCTATATTTGCAAGGAAACCCATTTCCAGCTTCAGTTATACGTGCATGGAGTTTCAGAAAGTCTAGAATTGGCTGGGAGATTGGCAGCTCACAAGTCTCCAAGGAGGTGGGGAGGGAGAGAGGAATTCATGTTTTGCTCTGCTTCGCCTCCCCCCACCCCACTAATATTTATTCGCTCCTAATTCTTATGCAAGCAGGTTGAAAACTAAAGTGATGCAATGCCAATAAGTTCTAAGTCCCTCCCCTAAGGTACCACGGCTGGGAGAATGAAAGAGCATCCTTAAAGAAATATCAATACATTCACACTCTGATGGGCACAATTGCGGATGCTGGGACTGCAATTCGAGCTCTGTGATATACCCAGGGAGGAGCCTCAGTCGCCACTGGAGCCCCTGCTTTTGTCAGGACGCCTCTGGCTTTGCCGATTGAGGATTCTTCGGTGGGGAGCTACCGGGTGGGGGTAGCGCAGCCGAGAATACCACAGAGCAGAGGGAGACCTGCAGGCTCCCAGCACTAATGCTCAGGCTGCATTTGCACGGTGACCTGGAGGCCACTTTATGCTTAGAGTGCGTTCCCACCACTCCCTCCACTCCCACTCCGGATTTGGAGAGGGCAGGTGCCCCCAAAGTGAGGGTCTCCCCAAGTTGCAAGCCAGGGTGAGGCAGGGTGGTGAAGGCCATTGTAGCAAGACTAATCAAAGCAGGGCCAGAATGGGCCACGTCTGCTCCCGTCCTCACCCCCACCCACACCCTAAACTTCTCCAGCTGCACCTGCGCCTCCTTTCTCCTCCAGGGAGTGGAGCAGACGCTGGGGGGCCGGCGGGTGGGGAGGGAGGGGGTGCAGTCGCCTTGCGCGACCTGCCCGAAGAGCAGTCAGAGTAAGTCTGGAACTGCTGGCCGCATGTAACCCCTTTAACGCAACACACCGCACGCCCCGGCGCTGGGTTTCTACCTGAGTCATCAGCCGGTCCGCTCCGGTGTTTTCCTCGTCCTTAAATATGATGTCGGGGTTGTAGTTGGGGGTGAGTTCCTTAAATCGCTCGGAGTTTCTCGAGATCTTCCCTTCGTACCTGCCGCTGGCTCCCAGGGTCTTCTCCGCCACGTTGGGGATGAATTGCTTGTAGGCTAAAGGGGTCAGCTTTTTGGGGTGCCGCCTCTTCCCGAACCCCCGGCCGGGCCCGCACGCCAGCCCCGGGGACATCAGCAGCGAGGACACGAGGACCACCAGCAGACATCTCGCCAGCAGCAGCAGCATCCCGTCCATGGAGCCCGGGGACTTCAAAGCTGCCCCCGTGCGGGTCTGTGCGCGCGAGTGCGCGCGGGGCGGGTGTGCGTGTGCGCTCTCCCCTGCGCTCTCGCTTCCCCGCTCGGCTCGCGCCCTCGCTCGCCGCCGGCTCTTTCTCTTCCTATAGAACCCTGCCCGCCGCCGCCGCCGCCGCGGGGGAAGCTGCGCGACTCCCCACCCGGGCAGGGGCTGAAATGGCACGCTGCGGGGCGCTGATGGGGGAGCACATCGGAGTTGGGTCGCGAGGCAGCGATCAGAAGACAAAAAGAGTCTGGGTTTAAATGGTAGCGAGCCTGCCGAGCTTGTGCGAGAGGCCGCCTTAGCACTATATTATAGCTGGCAGGGGCGCATCTGATTGGCCGAAGCTGCACAAGCTTGTCTTCTGATGTTAACCCTGAAGAAGACTACATTTTTTTCCCCCTGCTGCTGCCGTTGCTTTATTTTCACCTGAAGGCCTCGAGTTAAAAAAAAAAAAATCGCCTCTATCTAAGATAAAGGTGGGCGGGAGGGAGGAGGCGCGCCTGCCGGGATCACGCCGGCGACTCTCCGCTATGTGTGCGCGCTGCGTTCCCCCTTTGCTTTCTCAGGAATGGTAGGTGCTTCAGTTAAAACCAACTTAAGTTTTTAAAGGACAGTTTGGACGCCCCCCCCCCAACCCCGCACCAGCTCCAGTCCTCAAAAACAAATAGTCTCTCAAATGTTCCAGGGGCAAAGCTGCCCAGCCCCGATTGAATTTCCCCTAGAGACGTCCCCTGCAGGCCAGGGCTCCTGCACCTTGCAGAAAGAGGCCTCCTGTGGCACGTCCAGCATCCTTGGACCCAGGGCGATTGCGGGGTGACCACAACCTCAAGCGTGGCTATTTGTAATGCTTTAAGCACCTTAGAAAAAACTTAAAAACACGTCTCCTTTCTTGAGTTTCAATGATTGCATTCCTTTTAAAACCTCTGCAAATGGGGGGGGAGGCATCGGGGCAGGCACCGAGTGGACGGAGGGGCTGGCAGGGTGGAGAGGCTGAGGGGGTCTGGGTGCTGCACCCCATCGAGGAGGAGGAGGAGGAGGAGGGGGAGGGAGCGGGGCTGGTGCGTGCAGGCGGCTGAAGGCCACAGGGCCCCGGAGCAGCCATGGCGAGTGGGTGAGGCTGTGCACCCCCCCCCCAATCGATCAGAGCAAAGTGCAGCGCCAGGGATGAGTTGAGTGTGCAGTGGGGCTCCTTGCCACTGCGTGCGGAGCTGCCTGGCGTGGGGCCTGGCCAGCCCTCGGTCCTCAGGGACAGGAGCCCTTGGGGGGGCCCTGGAGGAGCAGCGTTCCGGTCAGGGAGGGGCCCAGGGCCCTGGAGTCTGCAGTATCAGAGTCCCCAGTCCCTCCCTTCTTTCTGAAAAAAGAAAAAGCATCTCAAGAAAGTCCTAATTAAACCGGAAAAATAAAATCTGAAACTCCTCTTCTTTACAGAAGGTGCCCTCCCAGCACCCCCACCCCACTCCTGTGCCATCGTTCCTCTGGACGGGGGAGGGGAGGGTCACTCCTGTGCACTGGCCACGCTGACCCCATGGGATAATTGGTCCTGCCAGCATCGCGGTGAAGTTAGCGCTCTTCCCGGTCCCCAGCCCATCCAGCGGAGGGAGAGGCCCAGGGAGAAACTCAGCCCAAACAATCCTATGTTTCCACAAGTCCCTTTTGCAGATGAACTTATTATTTTTGTTGGGGGAGAGGAAAGGCCCATCTTAAGAGCATCTATTTTGGTTGGGTCTCAGAGGTCCAGGGGGGAAGGTTGGCCTGAGCTCCCCCCCTCCCACCTCCCTGCTTTCTGGTTTGTGGAGAATCAACATCCTGGGAAGCAGCACCCATTTTGTGGAGCAGGGCAGCTGGAGAGCCCAGGGCACGCCGCGTGTGCCCATGTGCCGGCGTCGTGTGCTCCCAGCAAGACCAGGTACATACGAGGAAGGACCCACTACAGGTGGATGCAGCATCACTGCCCCCGCCATGGTTCTCATCTAGCCCCAGTCCCCTCCCCTCCCCCCTTTTACTTGGCCCTCCCCCTCCCTTACAAACCCAGAAGGGCAGCCGCTGCAGAAGGGCTGGGGGCTCCAGCACAGACCCAGACCCGCTGTGCCCCGGCCAGGGACACCCCCACGTGCAGGGGGGCTGAGGCGGGTGTTTTGAAAGCAGAAGTCTGAGCTGCACAGAGCCCGTGGGCTCAGCTGGACCCAGCGCTGCCCCAGGTGCGGCCAGCTCCCTCCTGGCAGAGAGAAAGGAGGGTTCACGGCTTGGCCCTGCACTGGGCCGCCAGGGTCACTTCCTCAGGCCTTCCCTCCCTTCCATCTCCCGCCAGCGCTGGACACTGGGAGAGCCTGTCAGGCCCTGTCCCCAGGGCTGGCCGGGGGGTCCTAGAGACTAAAACGACGACGGACCATAAACCCCTGCGGGGGATGCCTTATTTTGGACGGTTAGGGGGAAACCTGGAGAAAAAGCCACTGCAGTTGGTATTATCGTCTTAGAAAGAAGGGCGGCAGCCTGAGCCACCAGAGACTCTGCGGCCTCTGGCCTCCCGCCCTCACTTCCCTTCCTCCCACCCCCACCCCGCGCCCAGACACCCCTGCCTTCCCCCTGCAGACGCCAGGTGGCCCCCTCTCTTTGCCTTTCCCCTCCAGACAACTTGGGCCCACCGCCCACCAGGCCAGGCCGGCCCTGGGGCGGACGCCCTGGGGCGCGTGTCTAGCTCCCTGGCTCTGCCCTGGGTCCCGGTGGTGGCTGCCGCCCCCCACTCCCCCTCCTGCCGGCCTGCCGCTTCCACCCGCGCCCCTGCTGGGCACAGGTGGCCCCCTCTCCTGCCCCCAGCCCCGGCACCGGCCCGGCCCCCGCCGCTAGATGGCCTCCTCACTCTGCTGTCAGGCCGAGGCTCTGCGGTTTGGGGAATTCCCGCAGTCCCCAGTCAGGAGGACCCCGGAGGCAGGGCTAGCCTCGTCGGTTCATCCTCCCTCGTCCGTCCCTGTCACCAGCTTCTGCGCCCCGTTTCCCCAGGTTTGTGCCCTGGGCCTTGCACCAGAGCTCGGCCTGCCACTCTGGGACATGCTGCTGCCTTGACTCCAGTCTCCGGGGTCGGCCCCCGATCTTACGTTCCCTTCCCTGTGTCCCTTTGACTTCACTTCTCACGGTGACCGTACGCAGTCTCTTTCTATCCAGTCATCCTGTCTCGGTTTCCTATTGAATTTGTTCCAGTTTTGGCTAATGGACTCTGCCGAGCCAGCTCTGCTTGCAATGGCTGCCAGGCCCCTCCCTGGCCCCTGGGCCTGGGGCTGGGCGTCTCCAGCTTCCTGGGGTCTGGATAGCCCAGGAGGTCCAGGAACACCTGCGGGCCACCGACTGCTGCCCAGATGCAGGTGGGCCCAGGTGACAGCTCCCCGCCTTGCACCAATGCCCTGGGGCCGAGGGCCTGGAGCCCTCTCCGGTCCCCTGGACTCCCCTCTTTCTGGGCTTCCAGGCAGCTACGGCAGGGGCTAAGGTTGGCTGTGAGCAGTCCGCCTGCAACATGGTGCGTTTGTGCTGATTTCCTCTCTTCTACCTTTGTGGAGTTGATGAACCTTCGTTTTAAGTCATGAGTGCTTCTTTGTAGTCTAAGCAATGTCTCCGGTGTGTGGCTCCGAACCGTTTCTAAGTGGTCCTGTACCCACCGTCAGGGCGTGTCACGCTGCACAGGTGAGCTGGAAAGGGAGGTGCCCAGGGAGTGCCGGGCAGAGGGGCCCCACCCTATTCCTCGGGTCCCGCGCCTGTGTACAGCTCCCTGCGCAGGGGCCGCCTGGACACTCTGCCGGAGACTGCGGCTCCTGTGGTCTTTGCGCCTAGTTACGTCACAGAGGGCCCTGGCAATGCGAGTGGACGGAACCCTGTCTGTTTTGCACAGCAGAATCACCTGGGGAGCTTTGGGCGGAAAAGTCAGCAATCAGTGCCTGGCCTCCCTGCTAACAAGCACATCAGAATTTCTGCTTTGCTGAATGCCCTGACGGGAACCCCCAAACCCAGGGGCGGGAGTGGGAAGGGGGCTTCGGGTGTCCAGCTGGGCCCCCACCCTCTGGTCGGAGGGCCTGGCAGGACCTGCCCACAGGGCCGCAGGCAGCAGAGGCCAAGGCCTGGGGTGTGTGCATTGAAGGGTGGGGGACGGTGAGGGGTGGGGGTGTGTGACCAGGAAGCCTGGGGTGCCTCAGGGCAGGGACGGTGTAGAACTGGGTCCTAGACGCTTGGACAAGCGGCTCCTCTCCAGAGTGGCCAGGAGCTGGGATCCTGCCGACCCCACTGCTCTCTGGCTGGTGGGAAGACCAGAGAAGGGGGACCCCGGGCCCTGCACCCCTCAACCTCCCTTCTCTGGGGAGTGAAGACATGGAGCCCGTTTCTGCCCACTTCCCACTCCCACCCCCTGCTGGGAGAGCCCCCTGCTGCCAGGGGGCGGCTGGGACCCTCCTGGCAGCCTGCAGAGCACTGGCACCACCTGGGCAGCTTCCTCTAGGACTGGGTTTTCTAGAACGACGAACTCACACGTGGGGTTGGGGACACTGTGGGGACGTCCCCGTGCAGACCTGTGTGGACAGACCCCACCGCAGTCCATTCGACCTGCAGAACGTCTGCTCCTTGTTTGCAACGCGGGAGTCTGGGGCCCACGATGGTTGTCCCAGAGCCCACCTGGCCCCGAGTCTATGCACCCAGGACCGCAGTCTCAGGAGGGCTGGGGCCACCCACCGGCCTCGCTTCAGAGGGAGGAGGGCCAAGAACCGTGTACCCAGCCCCGTGTGCACGCAGAAGGACCCGGGCAGCCGTGTGTGGCGTCTCCTCCAACAGGTGCACTGTCCCGTCTGGATCACACACCTGAGCCACAGCAGTGCCCTGAATCAGGCCTGATAACCTGGCCGGAGACCGTGCCCCATGAAGGTCTTATTGGGCGGCAGTGTTTCCGGAAGCTTCGCCCTCCGTTTGGGTGTGTCATTGGGAAGGGGAGGTAGGCAGGTAGAAAGACGGCCCTGTGCCCCAGGAGCCTGGACACCGGGAAGGCAGGGGACCCATGAAGGTGACATTGCCATACCCAGGGCCAGGGTTTCGGGCTCAGCAGGAAATGGACC